CTTTTGGGGGTTGTCATGCGTGTTTTACATGTATATCTTCGAATATTAATGAGAGCTTAAAATTGAGAATATTTGAAGGTGTGTGGATTTATTTGTTTTTTCAGTTAATGTCAAATAGAGAACTAGTTTTATCGTCTCAGAAGGATAAGATGTGTGACAGTTCCAATCATTTGGAGAACTAGAATGCATGTACTGGCAAATTAAGCAAAGCACATGCAATAACAGGGTTTGTTCACAGATGTAGTAGGGGGTGTTAAACATAGACTAATCTGCTGCTTGGCTGTCCAGGGTTCTCAGTCTTGAGCATTACACCAAAATCACAAGTGATTTAGGCTACCTTGTTATGATTGACTACAGTAACTGAGGAATAGCCTCCATTTCCTTCTGCCTTGCCTGCAAGGGGGAGCAGTAAGCTCTGGCGAGGGTTACTGCTAGGAGGAGATGATGACTTAAGTTGTGCCAGCGGGAGCTGGTAGAGCTTACATGCTGGAGTTCTGAGATTTTGCTGGTCTGGGGGGGAAGCCATATGTGCGTTTGCACTTTTCAGTGGAAACACTTCAGCGTTCAGATGTCTGAACAACTGATTTTTCTGTGGTCCAGGTCTTTTCAGAGTGTCCTGGCAACTCGGCTCAGTTGAGAGTTCTTCTTGTGTTTTATGCCTCCACCATTGTATCAGCTCTTGCAGCCGCAGAGAAGATAACAGACACTATAGTCTCAATGCTGCTCCCTTACATCCAAAAGGTATGTGAAACTTAGTTTTCCTTCCTGTGTTATGAAGTGGACTGTGTTCTGCGACCATGCACCTGTAAGTAACAGTTAAGAGGGACATTCTATGTGAGATGTATTGTACCACTCTTAGCCTGCTTTGAAACATCAGGCAGGTGAAGGTCCAAGAACAACAATGTTTTTTCACACCTCAGATGAGCACTTTAAGAACTCTTAATTCCTACGCTGCATGAGGAATGAAGCTGTGAGAAATGAATACACAGTTTGAATGAACCTCTTTGCCTTAGAGCCTTATTGTGCTAAACAATGAGGAGATGGAGTCAGGGTGGACAACCTGCTTCAATATCCTCTTTCGTCCAGGATTGTTGCTCTGTTAATGAACAGAGCAGCAGTTAATGAACATGTCTTCTGTATGTGTGCACCCTGCATGACAGCTTTTTCCTCTTGAAAGATGAATTTATAGGTCCCTTTAAAGTTAACACATGGGGAAGTGTGATTCCATGGATGTCAGAATGAAAATTATTTTTATGTTAATGTACTCCTTTTTTTGAATTTGTGTGTATTAAAAATCCATCTTTATCTCATTTCCTAGGGCTTGAAATTCTCTATACAGGATTACAGAGCTGCAACATACATGATAGTCTGCCAGATGACAGTAAAAGTGACAGTGGAGACTTCCTTGGTGCATTCCTTGATGTTACAGATAAGCAAGACATTATCTAAAGTGCCCTCATTAGTCAGGGATGGGGTGGCATGCTTGAACCTACTTCTACAAACTCAGAAAGGAGACAAACTTGGGAAAAAGTAAGTGTACATTAATTGAGTTTTCCCACTTTTTAAAAGCTCAGGCTGCACTTAGATAATTTGAAATTTTCCTATGAGAAATTTTGGTAGTTGACGTTTCAAAGGGCTTGGAAGTTTCTTTGGCTTACTTTGAAAATTTGTATGCTCACTACAGCTAAGGAGTCTCAGTGGTGCGAGTCTGTCATTTTTTGGTCCCTCTCCTGCCACTTCCCTGAGTAAAGGGTTGCTGTCAATGTGCAAAACTGAACCCTGACAGTAAGATGTTTTCTTGAAAGTGGGAATCATGGAAGAGAAGCCAGCATAATAATGGTAGTGCAAATTTGAGGTTATTTGAATAGCTTGGAAAAAAGAAGTTCTGTCTCTTCAATGGAAGAGCCTTGAGTTCATGCAGTTTATAATACCTGAAGTGTAAATGCTTCTATATCACCACTTCTTTGGTCCCACAAGTCAGGTGTTCTTCTGGAAGTACATGTGGTGTTTCATTTTCATCAGTCTGTTGGCCCTGGTGCTGTTAATGTGCAGTTGAACACAGTGATGGAAGTCCCACATGCTACAGGGAGTTTGTTTGCTGGCAGAGAGGTTAGCATGAGTATTCCAGCAGAATAAATCTTTGCTGGGATAAATGCAGACTTCCAGATACTTTGAACACACTCATAGAAGAGGAAAATGAGTTAAAAGTTAAGGTGTGGGGAACTAAGGAGAGGCATGCTTGATACGTTACGCAGCATCCAGCCAGGTGGGTATAAAGGGAGACAAGGTGAGAGAAACTTTTTATTAGTGGAAGGGAAATTGCTTCTACTGTCTTGAGGATCTCCTGTAATTGAGCTATTATTTCTCTTCCCTTCCTTTTGCTGCTGCTGGGTGATAGATATGCTCCTTGCAATGTGAGGATCTCTCTTCATGCAATCCATACAAGTATTTTTTCTTGTACTACCAACTTTGCAAAAACACCTATGATTGCTGTGCCATTGCAGCAGCTGTGCTCAACGTGACTGGCAGTACCCTGTTTTTTTCTTGGATATTAAATGTGCCAAGAAACCGCTGGCAATAAGGAAGTGGAACCCTTTGAATTTTTTCAGCATTTGGTTACAATGAGGCTATTACCTGGTGCTGAAAATTGAATCCTTAGGAATTGGGCATGGTTTGAAAGTGTTGGTAACCCAGATGAGCATACGTACTTTTTTTTTTTTTTTTGTATTTCCCTGTTCTGTTGTGCAGGCCTTTTAATTATCTGTGCAAAACCCCGGAACTGGTAACACTTTTGCAAGGCCTTTCAGCAGGCTATGATATCTCTCCTCTTCTGCGTTACCTGTTGCCTCACCTTATTTGCACTGTCATGAAAAATGTTACAGGTAAGTTAGCATACATTTTTACAGTTTTGTTGAGTCTTATGGACAGATGACTGTGGTCAGTGTCGTAGCTGTGTAATTTTAGTTGCTTCTCCCATTAAAACTTCACCAGTACACGTGAAGACCTGATTGAGGTTTTGTGTGTGTGTGTGTGTGTGTGTGTTGCTTTTTCGTTTTCCAGGTCCTACAGAGGAGGTTATTTTAGGTAGTTATATCTATATTGCTTTGATTCAGATG